TTGGGTCAGCCATCGTACAGATGTTTGTTCCACACCCAAGGTTTGAGAAGATAAAAGTGCAGGTACAGAGTTGCACAGGTCCAAAAGTCACTATTGGTTAGTCTGACTCGCAGATTTCCAAAACCTTGGTGACTGCGGTGGTGTCCCTCATACGACCGTCATCAAAATGCAAAATTGGGACAAAAAAAATTGGATCAAAGATATGGCTACATTAGTCCGACGCTTGACGTTTGCTTCGTTGAGACGTTTGAAACAGCGCATAATATTGGGGATTTTGGTCTATGCCCCTCCCCCCCCCTAGTTCCCTCCTCTGAGTACAATCGACCTGTCGAGCGGGGGGGGGGATATATAGCGCAAGTGAAACAGGAAAAAAGTGCGAGGGAAATACACCTCCCCTACCCCATCCTATCTACCGTACTTTTTCCCAGATTTTCCGGAGTTTCCTGAAAATTTTCCTACTTTTTCCCCCCAAATTCTGCAGTCGAGTGGGGAGGGGGTTTGTGTGAAACAGGAAAAACAAAAGTCAACGAGCGAGAAAAAAATTTCCCCAGCGCGGCAAATTTTGCTCAGAAGGCAAATACGACCTCTCTCTTCCCCGACAAAGAGCAAAATCGACTTTCTCCCCTTATAGCGTGAAACAAGAAAATCAACTATCAAAAAAAATCTCCACGGACCAAATACGACCCCCAGCGACCAAATACGACCCCCTGTTGGGGAATCCCCAACGATGATGTGTCCTAGTTTGAAATACTCGTACGATTGCCGTCGAATTGAATCTGCAACAATTCTATGAAAGTCGAACACCGATTTGTGATTCTTGGGACTTCCGGTTCTTTTTGCCAATTCCTAGAGATGCCCAATCACTGCTATATCGTATTGCAGAGCGACATGAAGGAGATGATTATGCAAAACATGGAGAAGTATGTGGTCCGTGAAGAACGTGCACGTATATTGCTTCAGCAATTACGTGAAGCTGGACGACAGACATTTTTGCTTACAAACAGTGACTATAGATATACAGATGTGAGTAGTTTTTCTTTTCTATTTATTCAGACCCAGTTCAACATAGTAGACGTGGGAAGAAATAGCGCAGCTGCAAGATGAACCGTATCTAGCTTGTACGATCCATGGGATCGAATCTCATCGAGAAGAGCCGAGTATACAGTCTTCCCTTGCCTACCAGTTATAGCTTCGTTGTTTGCGTAGGTTCGGAAAACCTGCCATGAAATGGGTTAATCTCGTACGTCGCTAAATGAAGGGTTCTACTGAAGCATTTGTGCACTTTTAAAACCTGTGGGCACGATGGCTGGGAGTGAGCGGTTGTCGCCAATGTCATTGGTGAAGGAGCCGATTGGGGTGTGGCCAAACGGCCTCTCGCAACCATTCCACTAATGACGCTGGCAACAACTACCCGCCTCCAGCTATCGTGCCCACTGCCTTTAGGCATGTGCAAAATTCGTGGCGCAATTCCTCGGATGGACCATAGGTGGGTACCTGACTTTTTTCGTGTAAACTTGCTCACAGCAATAAAAATAGAGGGATTGGGTCCATAAATAAGGAAATCTTAGATTTGTCAAAGTATCTTAACTTTTCTGATTTACGCACTGCGTTTATACTCCGAATCTCCGAGGTGCGGTAGGCGTGGCTACGTGCTTTATTTGGTCGTGGCGGGGCAGCAGCAGCGCTTTCTGTGAAATAATTCGTTTCGGGACATGTGCAATCATATCATTGTTCAACATTAGACTAGAAGACAGTCGTCGGAAATGAAATATTCCACGAATAGCCGTGCTCAGATAAAGCACGCAGCCACGCCTACCGCGTATCAGGGATGTAGAGTTTACAATGATCGATTGCATTGATATGGAGGAACTTTTGTCCTTTTGTTGAAATTATGACCATCCAGCTTCCAATTTGAGATACTAATCGGTAAGCATTCTGTCATGTATTGAACTTTTCAAAGCTCTAATATAACAAGGGAGATCATAAGAGGATACCAGTCACGCCTAGAGTGCACCTGAGGTCTACGCCTGACTGGGTTTTCTCATCATTTCCTGGTCGCATTACTTTCTCTCTATTTGTACCAAATTTTTTGAGCGACATTTTGAAACAATGTGCTTGATTCCTGATCATTAATTGATTAGGTAAACGAAATTCATACAGTTTAGTCGATTTCTTTTGTATTCTTGACTCTTTATAAAGGCAACGAGCGCGATGGGCTGGACGCGGACTGATGGTGCCAGCCCACGGCTCATCACGTTCATTGCCTTCAAGATTGAATTTATACTAAAACGAGCTCACCAGCTTTCTTGTAGCGGCGCGCCTGGAGTGCAAAAATAAACGACTGGGTTAAATAAGTAATTCAACTTGGTGAACAGTGAAACGGGTCCAGTACTTTTTTAGTAGCGCAATTATGCATCCGTGTGAAACTATTTCTGTAAAGTCCACCACATTTGCGAGTTCCCGTGTAATTCAATTTAAGTTCGAATTTAGAGAATGATGTCATTTGTTCTGGGCGATGACTGGCGATCGTTCTTCAATATTACCGTAGTGGATGCTAAAAAACCGATGTGGTTTGCTGAAGGAACGGTCTTCCGCAAGGTAGGTTTAGATTCTGCCTAATGAATGATCTTGTTATAGAACTGTTCTTTATCGCGGTAATTCATGATGAATAAGTTATCTCGAGAGAACTCTGTGTTCTGGGTATAAGAATTGACACTATCCAGTATACGGACCTGAAGCTCAGGCTCGGCGGTCTGGAGGGCTAACCATTGCATCACCAGGGCCGCCTTCCTTCTCATCCTAAGGACTTTTGCCTCAGCTTTTTTGAACTTTTTTCAAATTTGAACTCATTATTTTAATGAACTTCCTATTAAAATGTTGGAATATACGCCCTATTTACTGATCCTGAACAGGAGCGAAAGAGCGTGGTGAACGGAAACGGCTTGAACTTTTGAGAAATTTAGTCACTTTTTTCGGAGATGAGACTTTCCGAACTGTTCCGATGTCACGCTATTTTGAGTAATAAAGAAAAGTGTCCCATTACCTGTGAAAAGCAATTTTTCTAAGTGAGAGGATGGCAGAAGGGCGTTTGCCAGTGGAAAGTAAAATGAAGCTGAAGAGTTGTGGCAGAGAGATTCTTTACATCTTCTTGTATCTGTCAATAAGCGGCAAGTGACCACGGATACGCAACACGCCACACGAAAAGCCAGACTCCTAACTATAGCCACACGTGCCTTTTGTTAAAGCGCCACTGCTATCTACAGTTCGGCTTCAGCAGGGTGCCAAGCGTTCGCCATGCAACTTTTGCGCCCAGGTCCCACAGGGAACGTGTTAGTAACATGCCTCAAGGTGTGCCGCTTTTGGTCGTGCAGTGTGCCTTTAAAGACAGTCCCAGCGCTCAAGCAAGTAGTAGGCAACCTTCATTGTACAAGTAGACAGGCCCCAATTCTCCAAGATTACCCTGCTTTCGCGGCTCGTCTGTAAGTAGCGAAGGCGCACTGGTCTTCATAAGTGCGATACTGACGCCTCCCTAGTTGTCCCGCCCACCAAAACTCGAAGGCTGTTTTCTGTCTTGAGTTTTATTTTCAAAGTTTTCTTCTCCCTATTAGATGGTATTAGCAGTGGATGACAGAAAGAAACAATAAGTGAGCAGAGACGGCAATATGCCCCTTCGCTAGCGTACGAGGAATAGGTCAGGGAGAACTGCTCCAGAGAGGCAGCCAGCTACCTGCCGCCTACCGCCAGTTACTTCTGGCGTTTCCATGTTTTTTTTTGCTTTTTCTTCCGGAGAGAGTCATTGAGTAGGTGTAAATTTGTAATTGATGCCGCTAGCGACAATATACAATCGCGGCGTTTATCTTCAAGTGCGGTGCAGCTCGTGAAGGCTGAAGAGACATTATCAGTTAAATGTTAAATAGTTTATGAGTAACTTATATAGACTAGTCAACTATGCACAACTTGATCGTTCTTTGCTGGATTTCTGAGTCTGCAAAGTGGCTCTACTTGTCATTTAGCAAGAAATGTCCTTATCCGCTCTGAATTCCTTATAAATGTACTTTTTTCATGCTAACTTCCTCCGATAAACTTCTTGTCCTCCTCATACTTCAAGACAACGGAGAGTTATTTGGGAGTCGCGCGATCGCAATACACTGCGAAGCATAATCATAGTTCCACCATGAATCTCACAAAATCCCGTCTTACACGACGTTTTCAAAAATGCCCCCATACAGAAAATGTGGTAATTACCAATACCAATTCGCATGCCAACACCAAACTCTAGCTTGAAAAAAAAAATTTTTTTTTTCGTCAATTTTTTCAAAAATGGTCGTTCTGACAACGAAGCAAAAATATAGTTCCACCGAACAAATCGAATATTCCAACAACAAGTGCACAATAAAATGAGTAAATTTTGATCCAGTAATCTACTGGAACTCTATTTCTCCAATTAAGTTGGAAAATACGGTTGCCCATGTTCGATTAGAGATTTTAATAGGCTGTCGGCGACTGCCCCAATGATTAACTCCCTAAGCTCACGGACCTTGTGGAATTGTGCATTACTCTCATGGATCATACGCACCATGAAGCCCCTCACATCCTCGATTGGGTTTTAGTCGGGGCTACTCGCTGGCTAGGGCAAAAGAGCGGTTTGGTGACAACTGAATCACGCTCGAGTGCTTCGACTGTCATGAACTGCATTATCCTGCATGAAAACGGGACTTTCTTGCTGATTTCTACGTCAGAAAGCAAGGAGACGTCGTCGCATGACTTTTAGATGACGGAAGAAATCATTTCTTTTTTCATACGGAGCGCAGTTTCAGACGTTCCATTCATGCGATGGCAGCCCAGACCATGAGACCACATCCACTGAAGTTCCGCCCGGAAAAATGAAACTTGTCTTCCCTCATATCGTGCCAGCGGGATCGGTTTTCGTCGGAGCCGTCGCAGTTGAATTTTCACTCATCAGAAAGCACGACCGCGAGAAAAAAAACTGAAAAAAACACTACAGACAAGCACTAGGGCACCGCAGCCAAAAGCAACCTCACTTCATTGGGTTCGGCAACATCTTCGAGCAAAGCCAATTAGGTTTTCGCGATGGTTTTTCGTTGGAAACAGTACATAACTCATATTCCTCCTATGGGTGAACTCGAGTTTTTTCAAGAGACGCCTAACAGTATTCTCCGAGATATTAACCTCCGAAGATGTCTTGATTTCCCAACACGACACTGCAGAGTTGGATGCTTTCCAAGGATACGGCGGTTATTCCGATCGGGCAGCAAAGAAGGATGTCCAGAGCTCTTCTCAGCTCAATATCCTGTGGCTCCCTCGGAAAAAATCGTTGATAGCATGATGAGTGCGGCCCGAATCGCGCGCCATTCGACGATTCACCAGTTTTTGAGCCTTCTTTGCGATAAACTGTCCTTTTTCGAGGTCCATTAATGAAGTTCCGCTTGCCATAGCCTAGAAGAGGCAAGAAGTCATAATGATGAGATTTCACCGAACAAAAATGAGATGCAGCCGGAAAATATGGGGTGGAACTATATTTTTGCTTCGTTGTCAGAACGACCATTTTTGAAAAAATTGACGAAAAAAATTTGTTTTTTCAAGCTAGAGTTTGGTGTTGGCATGCGAATTGGTAATTGGTAATTACCACATTTTCTGCACGGGGGCATTTTTGAAAACCTCGTGTAAGACGGGATTTTGTGAGATTCATGGGTGGAACTATGATTATGCTTCGCAGTGTAGTAGACTTTATGTGATTGCCTAATTAAGAATGAGACTAGGGAACAAAAGAATTGTGTAGGGTGAGGTGGACCACCCAGAGAGAGGACAATCTTACATGTTCGTAAAGGTAATGTAATGGAGGTGTTTTAGAAAGAAGAATGTTGTCTGTCTCTGGGATGGTATGAAAGAAGGGTGCCCAACCAGACAGCCATGGCGCCGAAAATTCGCCAGTCAAAAAAAATATTCTTTCTGGGCCGAATACAACCACCCTCCTCTTCCCAGTGACCAAATACAAGCCCATCGTCCCCTCGTCGCCACAGCCGTTAGACTATCTTAGCCCATACAACGAGCGTTTCCTGTTCTTCTGAATGAGCCCTCATATTGAAAATTGGAATGAATCGATCAACCCTTCCACTCGTTAGCTCAACTCCTCCCCGGAACTGCGCGGAGGTAGCGGGCTCAGTTGTGAAATAATCGCGATTTCACTCTTTCAACCAAGATGTTGAAACTTTGGCATTGCAGGTTGATACAAAAACTGGTGCGGTCACGTTAGGAATCCACACAGGTCCACTGAAGGAGGGTGTTGTCTACTCTGGAGGTATGTGCTACTATTTTCACTTTTTTTTACTTGCTTGTGTAGTTTTGCAGCTCAGTAAACTTCACAACTTTGGAACTTGCTCTTTTTTTGTCTACTTCTGAGAACGACTGTAGTATTTTGGAGATTATTTTTATTTTACTTGTGAGTTCAGGCTCCAGCGATGCATTCCACAAAATAGTGAAGGCTAGAGGCAAGGATGTGCTCTACATCGGTGACCACATCTTTGGTGATGTGTTGAGGTAAGGGTTTTGCTTCATTTTTCGATCATTTTTCCTCACGTTTCTACGGAAATCTCCATAATTCGTACAATATCTATAAGTTTGAAGGATTTTTAGAGTATAATGTTTTTACCTGTTAGGGACGTTCAGTTCTGTTAGGCCAGTTTCTCTTTATTCATTGTTAGTTATGAGCAAAAGTCTTAACCTCAGCTGGAGCTCGAACCCGCATATCACGCTTCGAAGGAGAGTATGCAATCCGTTACTCCAGTAGGGCCGCTCTCACCGCTCAGTTCGATGGCTTTTGTGCCATACTTATAACACTCTACACGTTTATTGCAATAAGCTGGGCAGCGGATATTGGCAGTGAAACGCGAGGCTGACAGCTTGAGCTGAGGGGGTAAGGGCGGCGTAACCGATAGTAGCGCACTCGCTCAGAAAGCGTGAGATGCAGGTCTTGGCCCCGCTTCGGGCAAAGAGTTTTGCTCATAACTCGGAAATCTTCTAATAACCTTCGGAGCGCTAACTGCGGCACTCAGCAAGTCAACCAAGCTCTGGTTACTCGTTCTGCTCTACCCACCCTTCCCTTTATTTTCCTCACCATTTTGACGGAAAAAAAGAGTGGATCGGAGAGCTGCTGTCGCAGCTCGTATTTGCTGTTTGGGCCCACTATCATCTAGAGGCTCGCGGCCCTTGAAGAAACTCAATGGCGTGGCGCATCCGAGACAGCGCACCAAGACCCGTAACGCCGTACCCTGTATACTGTCACTTCATCGAGCCTTCTTCATCGAGGTTTTCCTGACCTCTAACAATGAGTGGAGTAGGAAATTTGCTTCAATACGAATACCCCGCAGTTCGATAGATAAGTCCGCTAGTCCGAGATTTTAGTTAGTTAGTTTAGTTTTAGTTAGTTAGTTATTGAGACTCATCAAAGAATCATCGTATGACCTTGTTTCCAAACTAAATCTGAATTCAAAATATATTTTACGTACCTAAGCCGTTTGTATTGGAATGCGTCACGGGGTGGGCCCAAGTTGTTTCAAAGAGAATGACTAATGTTGTGGACGGTGAGGTTGTGCTGCTCACGTCACAACATTAGTCATTCTCTGTGTGATGCTTAAGGAACAGGTCTTTTTCTTAGTCTTGTGAATTTAGGTCTTACTACTTACAAGTCTTGTGCCCAGCAGCAGGGCTCTAACAAGGGAATGGTTTCAACTTCCCATGGAACTTTGAATGGAGACCTAGGTACATCGATAGAGCTCGAATGCTGATTACGAATATGCAGATTAAAAGTGCTACGGGGACCTCCCAGACGAGATCTGGGTGGTCAAAGTTTGCGAAAAGTCAGTTTTGGCTCGTAAGCGCTGCTGATCGATGCCGGGCAGTGCCACCGTGGCCTAGTGGTAACGGTCTCGCTTCAAAGGCAAATGCTTGTGGGTTTGCATCCCGTTGGCGCGAAAGTTTTTGCTTCGTCTCCTATGAAGAGCTTTTACTCTAATTTTCAAAACTCTTCCGAGTTTACGGCTCAGCAGAGTAGATCAAGTAGATCAAGTATATGACGTACTCGATCTAGTATGGATTTGGTCACTATCTACCCTTTCTGAAAATATTACCCATCCGACTATTCAGAATTTTGGCGAAAAACTCGTTCATGGGAGATTCTGACCTCCTGAACACGAATATCACACATCCTTCGACGAGAAAACGCTTGTATGGCCAATTGTGATTCTGGGCAAAACTTCGAACTGTTTGCGCCAAAGGGATGCAAGCCGCGAACATTTGGCTTCGAAACGTTACGTTACCACTAGGCCACGGTGGCACTGCCGGCATCGATCAGCAGCGCTTACGAGCCAAAACTGAGTTTTCGCAAACTTTGACCACCCAGATCTCGTCTGGGAGGTCCCCGTAGCACTTTTAATCTGCATATTCGTAATCAGCATTCGAGGCTCTATCGATGTACCTAGGTCTCCATTCAAAGTTCCATGGGAAGTTCAAACCATTCCCTTGTAAGCTGAGAACGATGTTGAACGGTAGTTCTAGCGCTGCCAAGTAGCCCACTTACCCTAGCTTAATCCACCTTTAGACATTATTATGCATACTCTACGGTTCTGCAGGTATTAATCAAAAGAAATGTGAGTGAATCGACAGAATGAGCAGCTTGTTCATGCCGATCAGCCCGTTAGCCACAGGCCCGTTTCTCAGACGCGCACCGTACATCATCGTTGTGCGAACCCTGTAAGTTTGGTTCGTGGAGGGATGGTCGTAGTTGACCACAAAAAAGCTTTTTCCGATCGCTGACTTTCCCCGTTTCACGCTTGCTAGATGCCCTCTTGACTGACGGTCAATCTTAGGTGTCCACATCCTTTCCTGCGCTACTCGACAACAAAATTTTGGAGAAAATAACGAGATGGTTGGTAGGTTGTGAGAGGGAAACCGAAAACCTCCTTTTGGGGAGACGGGTCGTATTTACACCGCCATTTTACCCACCCCAATGATGTGTCTTGGTCACACAACACACGCATTGATTTTAGGTCGAAGAAATCCCGTGGTTGGAGGACATTCTTGGTAGTGCCAGAACTGGATCATGAGCTTACAGTCTGGACGGATCGTCGGCCATTGTTCGAACAGTTGACTCAGCTTGACAACACCTTAGCTGACATCTACAAACACTTGGATGCTTCTTCAAAGAGCAAACCGCAAATTCATAGTGTTCTTCAACAAGTGAAGGTGTGTAATTTAAATTTAATCCAGTTCTTTTTAAAGAAAATGACAAAACGGAGTGAAGCAAAAACGATTTGTCAACTCCTTAGTGAAAGTTGGTGAACGGCCTTCAAATCTTATTTACATTATTTTATTCGTCTTCTGAAAACTTTGTGAAGTTCTGGGTAGAGCGAATCATGTTCCCTAAAGATACACTCTACGATCGTAAGTCAAGGGTACTGGGGTCAAGCGAGTTTGAGGGTGCAAACTGACTGATGATCAGTAGGAAATGAGCAGGAGAGATCGTCGGAAACGCCCACGTAAGGCCCGGCTGGTTTTAGCATCTGACGAGCATGCGGTGAAAAGAGACGCAGAGAAGCTTAGTCGGAAGGGCGGGGCGAGAGCAGCACACCGCCCACACAAGTGGCAAAAAACGCAACGACATGCAGCTGTCGTACGTTAATAGGCACTTGGATTTGTTTGAGCGGGGCAGGCCATTATTAGAGTTTCTGGAGGATTCTAACTAACCTGGTAGAGCGATTGCTGACACGGTAGGAATGCATGGTCTGGCACGAATGACCAACCCTTTACTTGGGATTTGATTACAGGACTACCCATTACGTTGAGGAGTCACCTGTCACTGCTCTGCCTTCATCGTTGAACCGAAATACGGATTAAAATATCAGGAAAGTCGCAATTTTGAGCATGATGAATACCTCAGCGCGCACAAATGAAAACATAGCTCGCATAATTCTGGAATACTTGTTTATTAGGTTGTTCATAAGTTACCTTAACTGCTTGCTTGGATTATTGTGTACGGCCCCATCTTCGGAAATGGTTTCTCTTTGGCTTAATGAATAGAGTTGGCTGCTGTCAACGTTTTTTTCGCTCTAGTGTTCCATGTAATATTCGCATGATTTCTCAAGGGAGATTCGGAAGTGATGTTACTTTCAGTGTATTAGCCATGAAATGGATCAGGAATATGGAGTTTTAGGCTCACTTTTCCGTGCCGGCTCACGAACCACATTCTTCGCTTGCCAAGTTGAAAGGTATTTTTTCCAAAGGTTCCGTACCTTACGATCTGGGGTAATATTTAGGAGGACGATAATCCTCATTTTAACTATGATAGTGTTCGTGATTTTCGTCATACAGAATCACCAGGAAAAGGGAGTAGACACGTGTGGACTGAAATGATAGGAGAACCGTGCCAGTGCACCCGCAAAACGGATGAGCTACGGGTCTTGTCCGCTTCAGATGTTGGAGGAATCAGGAAGGGGGAGTCTGGGTTAGCGCGGCGCCCGCCCTCCTATGATTTTGAAGCGGATGAGCGACAACAATTGGTGGAAAACGAGCTCGCGGTGCGCTAAATCATGTGTCCTGGCACGCCGCAGCATCCGCAGTGAGCAAGACTGTACGTACCCAAAGGGAGAATCGCCGACTTGTCCAATTCTCAGGTCGGGCAGAATCAGAAGGATCGATGCGCATCACCTTTGGGCGGCTCTCTAAATGTCGCAGACTGTGAACAGTGCATAATTGGGGGAAGAAAAGCAGCTTCAACTCCTGGTCATCCTCCCACGCGCGTGATGGAAGCATAACAAATGATAGCAGCATACGTATTTTCAAAAACAGTCTGAAAGGTTCAAGTTCCACTTTTCAAGTTAATGCCATTTCCCCGAGAAACATTTTGCGATCCAGTGATATCGATTGTATCGACCAATTTGTGATCTGGCCTAGCTTCTCTATCCTCGCGCGGTTCCATTATTATACAATCCATATCGCTGCGCCCAGACAGGGCGTGTCCACAGACATAGTTTGTGGGTGTGGCGATCGTGGAATGTTGACGATTCAGGCATGGT